CCACTCCCGTACTACTCACAACAACAATCATCTGCAATTAACAGTTTAGGTCGTAAGATATCTAGCTGACAGGGATAGAGCAGTACTGCGACTTGCTTGTGTTTCCATTTGTTTATTGGTGGGCAGTGAGATGACATTAAATAGAAAAGCTTCTGCGTTGGGTAAATTATTTGAGAGCCAGACTTAAAATTCTCAAAGCTACAGTTCAATCTACAGTTTGTTCTCGCATCAACTCTGGCTTTTGACAATTACGAACAATAGTGACACCGTATTTTTGTTAGCTGTACTTGCACTGTTACTGCATATGACTTTTGACATATGCGTATGACTTTTAGTAAAATTGGCGAAGATCAGTCTCCTGAAGATGCGTGCGATGGCCCTCCAGAACTTCTTGTATGCAGTTGTTTGCAGTGAACCTAATTTGATAGTTTGTTTTAGTTTATTCATGGTGGACATACAGCAAAGATTTCTGATTTCTCGTGGAACCCAAACGATCAGTGGGTCATATGCTCCGTTTCCGAGGACAATATAATGCAGATATGGCAAATGGTAAAGATAACTAATTAAAATAGAATGGACTTTGTTTTAGCGTCAGATAGGTCCGTTATTACTTTAATGCTGATGTTACTGAGTTTTGAGCACCTTCCATCCTTTTGGAAGCGACTGTCTAGATGTTATTCGTGAATCTTTCCTGTATGAAATATTCTAAGGGTTATGATGTGTGCAATCATTTTGCCTCTGCAAGACCTTTTATTCTTTTAGTAACTTATACCAGGCTTCAAGGGCGAAGTAGAATTTTCCGTAGTTGCTGTGCTATGGTATACCCTAGCATATTTCAGACAAAATGTTAAAGTATTTTTGGGTTTCGATTTGATTGAATCCAGGCTGTCAGCCTTTCTGCAAGCACTAATGCCGTTTAGAAAGATGACGAGGTCAAAAAGTACAATCGATAACAGCGTCATACGGCGTTGAAATGGCATACGTAGGAGAAAATACGAAAGACAAACGCAATCCCTTTGTTGCAGTAGACGAATTCATTATTCGAACTACAGCCCCGCATGTATTTTCGCGGTTTCTGTTTCGTGACTACCAAGAATTTTCAAAGCCTACAACAGTTTCTCTATCCATTGACTTATAAGCTGTTCTACAGAATGGACATAGCTTGCTATAAGATGCAAGATACTTCGATGCACAGCAGAAACCAGCAGGGTTGAATTGTGCTTGTTTAATACGCTGCAATTTTGTCATTTACAGTTTCTGTAAAAAATATTGCTTTAGGCTGAAAATATTTATAATGACGAAGATACGGAAGTGACGACTACTGAAGTTGACAAATAAAAACCAGTGAAGCTCAGTTCGATCTTGCAATATATGTAAATATCTATTACCTGTTAACTCCTGTTCTTTGCAGTTTCCTGCAAACACAGGTTTGTGCATGTTTCGTTATAAACGTTGTACCGAAGCTGGCTTGGCTTTGTTGCGTTCCTCTGCGCATCAGTCGTATGTTACATGAACTCCACACAATAGCAAAAGCAACAATCAAGCATACTCTGTCTAACGAGTCTTGTGACCGGTTGTTTCTTACTAGAAGTGTGCTGTATGCTTCCTGTGTTGTTTGCTACTTAATCCTTGAGTTTTTAAAAATATTCTTAGTGAAAGACATGCGAATAGCACTGCAGAGGTACGTTTTCAGCCTCTGAGCCAAGTTTTTCACAAGCGTCGTATGGCTTTTAGTGTAATGCCAGAAGCGGAAAAGTGGCAAGTCAACACCTGCAGCAACCAGGTTTACCTACATTTTATACATTCTTTTGGTCACGTTTAAGTGTCGTTTAAACACAGCTTACCAACCATGAGGTTGGCAATATCAGCTTATCAACTTAGTATAGCAAACAGCATTCAGGTGTGACAAACACGATATCTAGAACGCTCAAGCCTACAGCTAAGATTATATATATGCAACATATGATTATAAACATGATTATATACATTTTCCTTCATTACAGATACTTAAGTTTTGCACAGGAATGGCAGAATTGACAGTCGTCAACTTCATTCTGGTTGAAATCATGTTAAGCATGCTTCTAGTTCTCCAGTATAAAGATGATTCATTCAGGAAGAACATGGGCAGCAGGCAGCTGTTATCATACAGCAAGGACAGCCCAAATCGAACAGTGGTAAACTAAAGTATGCATGAGTTTTACCGCTGTCCTAGCTATTAACTTATCACTGACAAATTCAGTAAAAGATTACAGAAAAACTGTTTATTTAGGCATAACTGTAACTCTGCAAAGCTGTAACTGTGACTGTCGGCGGCATGCTGTATGCTAGGAAGTAAACACCCATACGAAATGAACTGTACTGTATCGCTCAGAGAAATCTACAAATTCAGTACTATAAACAGATAAACGAATATTCAGAAGAACATTTTGTGCAGAATGACACTGCTGATGCTCTATAGAGTAAATCCATTAGCCACCACTTTCGGTAAATAAAAGATTGTACGATAGATGACGTTCAATGCGGATTGCAAATCGATGAAGAGTGTTCACCCTAGATTTATTACAAGGTGCGGACGCTAGGAGTTTCGTGCAACAGGAGTTCAAAAATAAACAGATCCTTAGAAACCGAAAATGCAAGGCAATGACTCACATTTTCTCCCCGTTATATTCTTGAGACATAATCATCATCCGTGAAATGATCGCCGTAAGACAGAACAACATTTGCCGCGGATTTTGATGGCTAAGCTAACCAGAGAATCAATATATTTCAGCAGGACCATGTACCAATATCTGAATATAACGTTTTGGAAGCGAGCAGCGACTAAAGTGATGGATCACGTCGGAGCGAAGCATGGTGCAGCGTAGGCCTGAATCCCGCCAAGAACCTTTAAACGGTTCACAAAAAAGGTCGTGATAACTGGAAACTGACGAATTCTTTATGATGTTGAACAAACCTGTCGAGAGAAGGACAACGATCCAAACTAAGGGCTACATTCCCACGTTGATTATGGTGAAATCATTACCGTATTTCCTTACTCTCTGAACAAAGGATGACTCATTAACTAAGCAGATTTAAAAGATATAGAATGACTATCATAAACGGATATTAAGATATACCAACATTAACCACCATGTCGTACTGCTATAAGCCGTGTCCTGGAACCTTGTAAACCATAGTAAGATGCAATCTTGAAAAACAAATGTGAAAAATGTTACTGGATATTGGTCATTCACGCAACTCCGTTCCGGTTTTGACACCGTTGCTGGCGGTACAGCTCTCCTGGCACCTACGCTAGATTATGACGAATCTGACCGCTTATTAATCTGTAATTTGAATTCAACGTAATGTGGTGCCCTGATCAGATTCGAAACCGACTTCACTTGCACTGTGTCACCGCGATAACGTCTGCTAATATCATATATGAAGAACGACCAGCTGAACCGCGTCGTGAAAACATCATTACAATATGACTGCCATGGGAAGTCGAACTCCTCGCTACAGAGGAATGGCCGGCCTCAAGCGTAAAATTTTCAACGTGACGAAGCTCAATAGATTGTTTAATCGCTGCATGTGAGCCTCTCTAGACTGAAAATAAGTTGCGATGGCCTGAACGCAAATAGGATGTTTAAGTTGCTGGCAGATCAGAGAAAAGCCATGCTGATGCTGGTAAACATGCAGTTCCAAAGGACATAAATGAATGATTAGCATAGTCCAACAGAAGATCTCAAATAACAAAGCAATAAAATCGATAAATATTAACAACTGCTCAGGGTTATAACATTGAACCTTTTGCGTTTTAATTGTACATTTCCATTCCATTTTAATTGTGCATTCCATGCACATTATGACCCCCCCCCCTTCCCACGTTCAGTCAGTCAGTTCGGCGACTG